ATCATCTCCAAGATCTTAGTAGTAAAGGTCTTTGACTAGCAAAGAATTAATTGATATTTTGATAAATAAAATATCAAGTCAATAACCATATAGATGTTCATATAAGAAGGGGGATGGCAAGTTTTAACATAACACAAGAAAGAATTGCTGTAACCTTACCCACTTTGGCAAGGACGGACAAAGGCACGAATTTTAAGGGGACCAACTTGAACTTTGGCTCACATATACATCATTAATATTAGGCCTAGTTAATGTGTAACTGGATAAATTATAATGAACTAGCATGATAAAGGTATGCAGATCAAGATTGTGTGGTCCATATTTCGTTCGCCAAATCATTTCAGTGCATATGATTGGTCTGATCTGGTTTTCACAACTTTATCATGAGCCAACAGTAATCTAGACGTACGTGCCCTATACTGCACCCTTTGCCATTGTTGTCATAATTTTCTTCCAGCCTAGGAGCTTACGATAAGGAGAGTCCCGATGTTTCATCAGCATTGTAGTCAGCAACGTCAGTGAACTTTGACGGACTTGGTGCCGAAACCAACTTCCTGCTGAAAAGTCGCGATATCAAGGGATGGATTCCATTTGTCTGACGAGCTGTAGTTTATTGTTAAAGCCGGCAAAGCTTACTAACGATGTTGACTACGATGCCGAAAGTTTGGAAATGTACCAAATAAACGGTCGGATACTGGAAATAATCATGACGGAATCGAGCAGTGGATACTGTGCGAATTACGTTCATCGGAGTCTATCCGACACCGTGACCAATTTGCTAAACTAGCTCGGTGTGTAAAGAGTGAAGAAGATAACGAATCGCGCTTCTTGCTTGGGCTAGATTTTAAACCCCCAATGAGATCGGATGTGAGAGAAGACATTCAAATGTAATAAGCTGATGGGTTTTGTCTAAATCCGGCTGCTAAGCTCAAAATCAAGCTTTCTTTTGCTCAATCAGTAGGAGCCAATCTAATGTACAGAATTATCCATCTTTTTGTTATTTTATCTTTTGCCTAGAAGCTAGCCGGCTGGCATCGTTACATGCACTCAAGCCTAGTCAGCGGCTCCATCTTTACAGGTATGCAAGTCTTACGCTAACTCAATCCTTTATGGGGACTTTTGTCGTGCATACAGGGCCAGAAGCATCCATCACAAGGCAGCCGTGCCAACCGCGACTTCCTTTTCCTCTCGTCAGCTTGTCTGCCCCCGACATTTGGGCATCCTGGGCAATTGGAATGACAACTTTCCACACTCACACACACTTTTCCCACACATTCGGATGCATGCAAACACATATTTGGCCATGGTCAAATCTGCTAACCCTCAAACATCCATTATGTTGGACACGCGGACACTTTCCTTCTTGAAGGCGTCACGCGAGGCCAAAATCGGCAGGTCAGTAAAGGTTACCTCAAATCATTATTGTTCTAATTATCTAGCTTTTCTCTGTCTTCTTTTCTCGTATCCGGCCCTCCGGTCAGGTGAGCTGGGGTCTTCTCGTGAGGTTTTACTTAAATCTTTGTTACCGATCTGGCAAGGCAAACATTATCTTTATTTTGAAGGTAGATCTTGCTCAAAAGCCGTATTTACTATATATCATTTAAGGTGATGAAGAGATTATTATTGAATTTTCCCACAATTATATGAAACCCGCTAGGGGGCTGACGAGGGCTAGATTGGGTTCAAATTGCAGACCGCTCTGGAGAATATATTTTGGGAGGCAAGGCTATGTAAAGTTCAATGCAGACATTAGTCTCAAGGCCAGATTCCTGCCCACCCACAGCTTCGGTCCCTCTTCGACCAATCATCTCATTTCCCATCGTGCATCAGACAAAAATATGGACTCAGGCCCGAGACTCTACCTAAGGCTCCAATGCCGATTTTTCAGAACTGTCTTTTCTAAAAGCAGCTTTACCTCGAGGCCTGATGATTGTAGAGGCAAATCGTTTTGGACCGGTTTTTATTTTGGACTGACGGCGATTTCCCGCAATTTTTGAGCTAAATTATACTTCACTCTACGTCCCAAAAGACCCTTGCTTAACTCTTCGTGAATAGACGAAACAGATATACATCGTCATGGCATTTGCAAAAATCGATTTTGCCTAAGACGCAGTGAAAAAATGCTTTTAGTCCCTTCTTGTCCAAATCTTTCCCTAGCGTGCACCTTTTCCAGTGTTCCACCCTCTACATCATGCTCAAATGTGTATGCACGTAAACAGGGAGATTCCATTATTAGTCTATTCTGTGTTGAGTGCAGCATCTGGGGCTGAGCAACTGCGCCCATCAGTGATACGACCTCTGCCAGGCCCTCAGTTGCTGCGACACCGCAGCACTGTCCACGTGGCCACTGAACACAAATGGATGTATGCCTATAGGAGGACAGTCAAGACGGGGTCAATTAATTACCCTGGGGTGCCCATCTCGATATGAGTCGAGAGCATACAAATAGAGGATGGATTCCAATAGTGACCGAAAGAAAAGAAACAAAGGGTTGCTGAGGTATAGTCAAAGGAGGCGGGCATATCGGAGAAATTGTGCTGACCACTGACTTTCACAGAAGGTGGGATGAACAGTTCAAGAGGAATGCCAGTTGGCCATCACGCTCCCTATGGACAATGGGCCTGGATTAAGTAATCCCATTAGCTGTTTCTATCCGCCCAGAATTAGTTGCATAATAGCACGACTTGCCTGTACGGCTTGACGACTAGTTTACGGGCATTGAAGAGTTAGGAGAAGGGAATTAGAAAAAACAACTTGGCCACTTTCCCTTTACTTAGGCGCCTCGGCCTCACTTTGCTCATGCATGTCTCTGCTTATGTAAATGTGTCGTATTGTGCAGTCTCACGGTTCCTCTTGCCTTTGTTTGCCTAGGCTTGTGGGTGCAATGGGTGGAGAGGGCTCGAGAGCATAGTTAAATGTGGTCGCGGTAACCGATTTCAGCCTAATCTGTGCCCCATTTAGCCTAGCAACTGAATGGCTTTCTCTTAATGGAACGAAGTCTGGTCAAAGGCTATCCTTTGAGTCGACAACTGGCGGGAAATTATTGGAACTAGGGGGAAGCGAGCGAGGGACAGATGAACGAATAGGTGCAAAATAAGTGGTACAGACTTTTGGCCAGTGTCATTCTTTCTAGAAATCTACCAAATGAGGATTTAGCCAACTCGAAAGCTACCTTTGTCCAGTTTAACTGGATTCCAAATGTTTTATAAAATGAAAGCACGTTTGGATTTCTAAACATCTTCGTAATATATAGAAAAATTGGGTTTTGAAGATTCCCTTAATAGAGTGATGTCGGCATACCTTTGAATTATTTAGAGGCGAGTAGAAGAGATTCGCAGATTGGCCTCACTGGAAACCGAAGCTATTCACCCTAATTCACTGAGGCGATGAAAGACTGATAATTGCATTTTCCCACAATGATATGAGTATGCCTGGCGTTTCCAATGAATATCACATAGCCTTGCCTCCCAAAAAGGTGTTCTCATCCAGGCTGGAGTTGACTGCCGTTTTGACCTCGCAGTCTCCTTAACGAAAATGGTGAATATATCTCATATCTATGATCCACTGGTAGTCTCGCAAGCCTATTTATAAGCGAAAAATACTTAATGTCGTTGATTTCTATAGTAAATAAATCGGTGCTTCATCGACAATACCATTACAGAATTTGTTATTGGAAAATGTCTGGCTCACTAAATTCAGATCTGTCCTGTGAAACAAGGGCACTCGTGACAGTATGGCCAAGTGGGTAACGTGTCGAGATTATATGTTGCCCTATCACGGTTCGAGCCCCACTTGGGTTGCTGAGGAGACCAAGGCGAGGTCGAAACTGCAGTTTACTCCAGCCTGGATGAGAAAACCTTGTAGGAAGTAAGGCTATGTGAAATTCAATGAAAACCTATTCATATTATTTTGGTAAAATTCAACTAACAGTCCCTTTCACCACTTTAACGAAATATAGTGAACACATCTTATACCAGCTCTTTTTAGTGCTTACATAAACGCGTCATCGGATCGTCAAAAATGGAAAGCAAGGAAGCGAACCTTGCCGGTCGCACATAAAGATGCCAAACTTCAGGGATGCACTTGG